ATATATATATATATATGGTTTAGATGGCAATACTCTCCAAATTGATCTCAGATTTAATGTAAACCCTACCCCTCAAAAAACCACAGCTCACTTCTTTGCAGTAAATGACAACTTGATCCTAAAATTCACGTGAAATTCAAAGATCCTAGAACAGCTTAATTGGGGGGGCACCAGGGATCAAACTTGGGTCCTTGAGCTTGCAAAGCAGGTGGCAGAACCACTGAGCTAAATCCTTGGCGCCACAATAGCTTAATTTTTAAAAGCAGATCACATTTGTAGGACACACTTTCTGACTCCAAAGTTACTACAGTGCCACAGGAGTTAAGGCAGAACAGTACAGGCATACAGTTAAATGAACAAAGTTGCCAGGTGTGTTGGTCCACACCAACATCTGACAACTTGAGGCAGGAGGACTGAAAGGTTGAACCCAGCCTGGACACCTTAGCAAGACTCTCAAAAATAAAACAGGCTAAGATTATATTATAGCTCAGAGTGAAGGCCCTGGGCTCAATCCCCAGTAACACACAACACACCCACACCAGAATTAAGGGCCCCCAAATAAACCCCTCACATTTATGGTCTACTGATTTCCAAGACAATTCAATGGGGGAAAAGAATAGTGCTTTCAATAAATGGTGCTAGGACAACTAGACAGCCAAATGCAAAAGAACGAATATGGGCCTCTACTATCTAAAAATTAAATCTAAATCTTCAAATCCTTGGATTAAATATCTAAATATAAGTACTAAAACTACACAACTCTTAGAAAAAAAGCACCAGGGCCAGGGATTTAGCTCAGTGGTTCTGCTGCCTGCCTTGCAAGTGTAAGGATCCGACTTTGATCCCTGGTACCAAAAAAAAAAAAGCGCACCAGGTGTAAACAAATACTCATGACCTTAGATTAAGCAATGGCTTCTATTATGAAGCAGGACTTAAAAACCAGCTTTTCTCAGCCTTGGGCAATTCCCTACCTCCTCAGGTCACCCCCCTCTTCCCTGTCTTTTTTTTTTTCTGATAAAATTGGCAACCATGTCTTGTGAAGAAAATTTATGTCATCTTGTTCTCACAAGATTCACGAGGCTGTGTCTTCTTTCATGGATAAATTAAAAAACTGTCTGCCCTTGTCCTGTTTCATGTAAACTCACTACAACACTAGAAAGACCAATCTTAAACCAAATGTATAAAACTGGAACCTTTCCTTTGTTTTCTATTCTTCCTTTGGACAGGAGTCCAATGAGCCAGTGTTCACCTAAAATAAAGTCTTCCTGATTTCCATTGGTTTCTCCTCTCTCTTGGAATTCTGCAACAGTTATAACGCCAAAAGAACAAGTGACAAAAGAAAAAATAAACTGGACTTCAAAATTTGAACTTGTGCTTCTAAACACTACCATCAAGAAGATGAAGTCAGGAAGCCAGGTATAGTGGTGCAGATCTGCAATCCCAGCACTCTGGGAGCCTGAGGGAGGAGGATCACAAGCTCTTAGCACAGCTTGAGAGATATTGTGATTTAGCAAGACCTGTCTCAAAAAGCGGGGGGTGGGGGGTGGCTGGTGGCTGGGATGTAGCTCAGTGCAAATGCCTTGGATACAATCCCTAGTATCGTAAAAACAAACAAACAAACAAAAACCCCCACACAAATAAAACAAAACTAGGGCCAGGGATTTAGCTCAGTGGTACCATGGAAGGTCCTGAGTTCAATCCCAGTACCAAAACAACAACAAAAACAGACCAAACCACAACAAAACAAGAAACTTACACCAAAGTGAGATACCAATTCACTACTATTAGGACAGCTACTTTAAAATAAACATAGCAGCCTGGGATTTAGCTCAGTGGCACTATTCCTGCCTTGAAAGTGCACAGTCCTGAG